GACCCTTCGGCCCAACTCGTCCATGCTGGTCAGATATCCGAAATTAATACTGTTCCGTTTGCCAGCACTTGGCCCATATCTCTCTAAATCCTTCCTATTCATGTCCCATCCAGATGGCTTTTAAATGTTGTAATTGTACCAGCCTCCACTATTTTCTTTGGCAGCTTATTCCATACACACACCACCCTCTGCGTGAAAAAGTTGTCCCTCAGGTCCCTTTTCTATCTTTCCCCTCTCACCGCCAACCTGTGTCCTCTAGTTTTGGACTCCCCTACGCTGGGAAAAAGACCTTGGCTATTTATACTATCCATGCCCCTCATGATTTTATAAACTTCTACAAGGTCACCTTCAACCTCCGCTCCAGGTAAAACAGCCCCGGCCTATTCAACCTCTCCCTATAGCTCAAACCCTCCACCATCATTATAAATCTTTTCTGAACCCTTCCTGGTTTCACAACATCCTTCCTATAGCAGGGAGACCAGAACTGCATGTAGTGTCCACCAGCAGCCCAGATCACACAACAACAGCAAATGACACAGGAATGACATTACCTGGGGGAAACAACATCACGCAAATGAACAGCCGTGACAACAACATGGACACATATCGTTATGAAACCAGTGCGATTGAAGGACTATGTGCGCAACATACATGTTTAGACATGCAGGAGTAACAAATTGCTAGCGCGTAAAATCTAATGTCCATGTATTTGATAACTTGGAAGACTTTAAAAGTACATGATAATGCATGCATTTTTTTCTTGCTTCTATGTATGAAAAGGGGAATGTTTGAATTGAAGTATACAAATGTCCTTCCTCATCTGCCATAGATATGTGACCTCTCGCCATGAGCCATAGCTGCTGTAGGCAGACATCTTCAGTAAATATCTTCTGTTGAACACTGCTGCATTTTAGACATGAAACCCTACCTGCTTGACGGTTTACAATGTCTTTTTTTTTCCATTCCACGTGTAATCTGGGTTCTATCATTTCTTCCTCAAGTGTATGCAGGGTGAGGGATGGACAACATTAAGCTCAAGGTTCACCTCAGGGTGGCAAATAGGCTTGTAGCAGTCTGCTCAAGTGTGAATTACTAATTATAACAGGTCTACGCTAATTGCACTTGTTTGCAGACTTTCAGTATGGCTCGAAGAATTAAATTGGCACCTTTTATGTTTTGAAAGCTTTTAAATATGTTTGCTTTGAGCTGCTAAGATACTGATTCATGAACCTCAAGGTAACTAGCAAATAGTTTTATGTATTAGTAAAAAATGAATTTTTCATTTGTAGTTGGGGTTTTTGAAGCTATTAATTGGCATTGTGATTAAAATACCGTGATTTTCTGTGAACAGCCTATTTTCAACTGTTTTAATCACGTCTCACCAAGGTAATACATGTAAATATGTAGACTTTTTAAAGCGACTGGAAAAATACTAAGGCCTTGTTTGATTGTGCTGATTCACGGCAAACTTTGTTTGCAATATGCAAATGAGCTTGAACAGCCATGGTTTTATGGAAAGCAAGGTTTGAGGTGCTTAATGGACTACCCCTGCCCTCTTTTCTTATGTTGTTATGAAGATGGAGAGCCAAAAATGATCAGAAAGTGAATAATTTGTGCCAGAATCAGCCAAGAATTGTTGCTTTCATTCTCACCAAGAAGCTGGCCAGTACGGTATAACTAATTTAGCCCAGTCAAGATTGAAAGAGGTTCTGAAGTCATTCGACCATTGGAGTTGTATATGTAGGTGATCAGTGGTAAAGTTGATTTACAACGAGAGTTGCTTAGTTTTTCATGCCGATTTTGTCATTCTCCTTTCCTCTCTTAAAAATTGGATTGCTTGTTTGGGTATGCATGTGAATGTTTGCCAACGTGTGTCAGCAGCCTTTTCAATTCCAGTGGACATTTCCAGACAAGCTGAATTCTGATCTTTGATATCCTCATGCACATCCAGCTTGGGTCACTGGATAGTTAGCAGGAAGAGGAATGTTGTCAATTATTCCTATCTAACTTAGGAATGAGATATGTGTCATTTTGATTTTGCCAATGTTCTCTGTCACTAATCTATATACAAAGTCCTTCATCTTCTGTGCTTTCTCTAAGTGCTTTGTCATTTGCAAAGTTAACGGATGTTAGCATTCACCTTCCATTCGAACTCCATTTTCTGTGCTAATATCAAAGTGATACAAATCTCAAAATTACCAAAAGATATTAATTTATTCATTGAAGGAAACAGACTGGAAAAAGTGCAAAAAAGGACAGGCAGTCTCTGAGTTGTGAACAGGTTCCGTTCTTGAGTCTGTTTACAAATCGATTTTATATGAAAGCTGGAACACAATGCAGGACAATATAAAGTAGGTGCTCCTAAGAATGCTGTATGTTGGATCTTTAAAATTACACCTAAAAGTGGGATCAAGTTCACAAGTACAAACAGTCATAAGTAGGGCATAAATCGGGGATTTCCTGTATATCATCTGTAGATAGAAGTTACAACAAAGAAATAAAACCAGGACAGTTTGGAAATGGCTGCATGTAGTAAGTGGAGATGGCTGCACTTGGAACTTGTGGAAAGACAGACCAACTTGCGCATTTGCTTAGAAATGCGGGGTTGGAGGAGAATGAACAGAATCTATTTGAAAGAAAAAATAACAAATGATGAGAAACTGGGGCTAGTGAGCAAGCAAATTATTATAATATAATTAGGAAATGTCTGTTTCTTCAAATACTCATTCACTGTCTGTAACCTTTGAACTGCTCTTTGGTACTGTTCTGAATGACCTGTCAAATAATTTGCACTATGCCTCTCCCTATTGTTCGGCGAAATTAAATATTACAATCTAACAACCCTTCAATCTATCTGTTCCATCAGTGTTCTCAGTCAAAGATTGCTGGTTTGCTCAGTACAAAAATAGATACAAATAGAGGATTTCATCAAACGGTACACTCCTAATAGAAAGTCTTACCAACTGGTAGAAATTCAGGTACTCGTTAAATTCTCTGGTGAATAACCAAGCAACTTAGAATAATTGAATTGAATTGTACTCCTTTGAAGTTTCTGATTTTAGAAAAAAAAATATGTCCCAGCTTAATTGTTTTGTAAATATACCATGGAGTCGAATAGAAAATGATTGAATGTTAATCTGACCTCAGTTTTCCTTTCACTGGGCTATAGATTTCAGATTCGGCTAGATTTTATAGTGAATGGCAAAATATTATCGCATGCCACTGACGTTGGAGATAACTGCCCACAAAGATCTGGTGACTTTGTGTGCTGACTTCCTCTTTCCCAATGGCAGTTTAAATGTGGCTGCAGTACAAGGGGATCTCCAGCCATCCAGCTGTTATAATGTCAATGAATAGCATAGGCAGTCAAACACATTGCGGTATTCTCTTGTACAGCTAACTAGGAAGTTAGAAGCGTTGAATTCCCCCACTGGTAAATTAGATTTAAAATAGTGAAAAAAAAATTATAGTGGATTATAATAAAAGCTGAAAGAAAAATAAGAATACTTTTAAAACGTTATTTTAAAAATGTCAATTCTTATTACAATGGAGAAATTTGACACAACTATGAAAATAGATTTCAGGGTTGGTGAAACTGTTTAGTTGTAATTATGAAGTTAATGTACTTTTAAAACAATTCCATCACATTCAACCACAAGTTTTTTTTTTAAAGGATTTTTACAATGTGATCAACAGTGTAAAAGTGAAAGTTTGTCAACTTACTGATTTGGGGATCTCTGATATTGGGTGCAGTGTGGGGAGGGAGAATTTATCATTACCCCCTTTGGTGGGGCATAGCATTATTGTCAGCAACTATATCTCCAAATTGCGAGTGTATCCATGCACAGAACAAAGATGCTGTCAGACCTTCATGGGTATTTCATTATTTTATTATATTCTTTATAATTTTTGGTTTGGAGATCTGAACTGTGAGCTGAGAGTGGAAGATAACCTTTGGACTGTAAACCGCAGCTTACGTTTAACAAAAGATGAAAACAAACAAACTGATATTTGCATTTAAGTCAGACCTGAAAGTTAATTACAGACTGATTCTTGTTTAAAAAGTGCAATATAGATGCTTTGGAGAGGCCTTATGCTCAGGCAGATGGCAGATGTTGAATATTAACTCAGACCACACAGGGAGACACTAACAGGGAGAGACTGGAGTTTGAACTGGTTGTGTTTAGGTCATAAGGATTGTGCCTGTGAAAGTTACAGGATGGAGGTTTGATTGTGCCCTAGTTGCCCTTTCATTATCAATGTATTGTAACTTTGGAGAATAGAATCTTGGTTATAAGAATTAAATGAATATTCCTCGGAGACTTCTGAAGGGATTTGCATGCATTGGTGTCATCAGAAACCAAGTAAGTACTATATGTTGGTGATGTTATAGATCATGGAGTCTGTTTACGTGAACTGACCAGTTACATCTCATTTATTTTTCCTTTAGATTTGTCCCTTAACTGTGCCTGTTTGTCTCTGTCTTTGTGTGAGAGTGGAGGTTAGAATGAAAAAGGATTGGGTTGAAATCTTCATTAATTGGATTCCTTGTTTCACTTTTCTCTCCTAAAGTTACTGTATTATTAATAAATTGTTACATCTTTTGTTTCAGCTATAAACCCAGAGTGTATCATAATTTTGATTATTCACAAAGTCTGGTACTGGTTATTCAAAAAACTCTGGTTAGAAACCATTGGAGTCAATTTTGAGGGTCATTTGAGTATTTTAATTTTACTGTGTTGTGAATACAGGGAAAAGGAGGCTGATGTGGTTTGGCTGTCTATCTCCAGGTTGTAACACAAACTCTTATCACCATCTCGAAGGTTGATCTGTTTTTAATATATATATCATATATCTTACATATATATGACCACCACTATTATCACTTGAACTTGATCAGTTATATTGATAAAAGAAGGCATAAAGATGTGTGGAAAAAGAAACTATAATTTGTTTTATACTTTCATATATGTGAATAAAACATGCCTTCCTTTTATTAGGTCTGATGCCACCCAAAGGCAGCATGAAAAAGAAGCTTCCTGATCCTCTTCCTGTGGGCTTGATCGTTACAGATTTTGGGAAGAAACACTGGAAACTTGGGAAAATTATTGGTAATGGTGGATTTGGGCAGATACATTTGGGTAAGGAAGCATAATGAACAACTTTTTGTTGACTTCTTGGCTGATAAAGCCTAAGCTTTTGAAGGTGATTTATATAGAGTGAATAATTATTGGATTGGGCAAAGGTTGTTTTGCACAATAAGCTACTTAAGGACATAAGATCCAAATACAAAGATTTTTGGAATTTTCTATTTCAGATCATCATGTTTTTTTTAAAAAAAGCTTAATGTATCCTAATATTTTAGTGATTCTGTTATTTATTTTTATGTGAATTAAATTAAAATATTCACATCTTGTTCCCTTGCTGAAAACAATAGAAGTAGGAGTATGAAGATGAGTCTCATTTTGCCCAGGGCATGACGCATTTGTCCTGATTTCTATTTACTCCATTACAGAATGTAGGCATCACTGGTTATGTCCAGCATTTATTGCTCATTCCTAATTATCTTTGAGAATGTGGTGTGAGCCAGCTTCTGGAGCTGATTTCTTGACCTGTTGCAGTACATAAATGAACTAACACTACTAAAAGGAAGGTTGTCCCAGAATTTTGACCCAGTATTAGTGAATGGACGATGGTATGGTTCCAAGTTAGAATAGTGTGTAGCTTGGAAAATAAGGTGATGGTGTTCCCATGCATCTGTTGCCCTTGTTTTTCTAGCTGGTAGAGTTCACAGGTAAGGAGGGTGGGCTGGCTGAGCAGCCTTGGTGGACTATTGCAGTGCAATCTTGTAGATGGTACATACTGCTGTCACACTGTATCAGAGGTGAAAGGACTGATTATTTAAGATGGTGGATGTGGCACCAATCAAGTGGGCTGCTTTCCCTATCAGCAAATGTTAACATCAGTTCTGTGTTGGATAATCCCCGAATGTATCAGTGCATCAATTGAAATCAAATGATGTCATTTTGGGATGAATCTTGATTTACATGCTCAGCGATCATGATCCATGAGGCACATTCAAGACTGTTCATGGCTTTGTTAAATTTATATACACATCTATTATAGGCATCAAAATGTAGCTTCCTACAGGTTATGGAAGAAGCAAAAATAAATAAATCTTCGTGCATATTTCCAAAATTTTCCCAAGTGCTTTCCTTACCCCTTCCATTTCAGCCAGCATGTTATATTTCCTCTGATCATTTTCCTGTGTGTCTGTGCCCATTCCTTCAAAATGATTTCTGTGCCCATTCCGCGAGGGTGATCCCGTGGCCAATCCTCCACAATGACCTTAGTGCAGGATCCGACATTGTGATCAACTCTGTGGAAAAACAAGGGATGAGGAGGAGGAGTAGGAGTACGGGATGTGATAATGATGTAGTCAACAATGTAAATACAAGAGAAATAAGAAGGCAGTGAAATTAAGTTTTTAAAAAAAAGTAACATAAGTTGTGAGCTACTGACCTGCCAATCTATGAAGGCTCCTTTAAAAACAATTTCCAAATCAACAATCTCTACCATCTGGAAGGCCAAAAGGAGCAGATGCTTGGGATCAAGTTTCTCTTCATGCCACTCGCCATCCTGATTTACACCGTTGTTTCTCCACTTTCACTTTGAACGTCTTATGAGGAAAGGCTGAGGGACTTGAGGCTGTTTTCGCTAGAGAGAAGAAGGTTAAGAGCTGACTTAATAGAGACATACAAGATGATCAGAGGATTAGATAGGGTGGACAGCGAGAGCCTTTTTCCTCGGATGGTGATGGCTAGCACGAAGGGACATAGCTTTAAATTGAGGGGTGATAGATATAGGACAGATGTCAGAGGTAGGTTCTTTACTCAGAGAGTAGTAAGGGCGTGGAATGCCCTGCCTGCAACAGTAGTAGACTCGCCAACTTTAAGGGCATTTAAATGGTCATTGGATAAACATATGGATGATAATGAAATAGTGTAGGTTAGATGGGCTTCACATTGGTTTCGCAGGTCAGCGCAACATCAAGGGCCGAAGGGCCTGTACTGCGCTGTAATGTTCTATGTTCAGTGGGTTAAAAAAAACAGGAACTCCCTTCCTTATAGCTCCTATCTACTTGGCCATTGTTATTGTGTACCTGAGCACAGAGATCCTGGAGCTGGAGGGCATTGTGAGCAGGACATCAAGATGCATCGCCCCATCTACATTGGCAGCTTGTCATCTGCAAAGATTTAGAACTCAACAAGCTGTCCCTGACCGGCTCAGGCATCCTCACACCACCCTTGCACCCACCTCCCATTTGATGAAATCAGGACAGGACTGGGTAGTTTAATCAAGATTTATTCTTTAAACAATGCTGATAGTGCAGCCCCATTACTAATATTTCATGTGAAAAAAATTACACCTCACTGGGATAGCTAGACCAGCCATCCGCCTGGGTTGAGTTAGCCCTTGTACCCAAAATCTCACCCCTGACACTCTAGGCCAACTCTCTCACTCTTCTACTTGATGTCTCAACTACCTGAAAACTCAGACCCAACTTCTTAACCCCTCCCCACCCAAACTCTAACTGTGCCACCCAACATCTCACCCCACCCATGAACTCCTAAACCTCCCCACACCCGCCACAGAATTCCTGAACGCGCTTCCAACCTAATGTCCCGATCCGGTCACTGCCTGATCTGGAAAGGGAGGGGAACATGACTGGCTGAGGAAGGAGGCGAATGAGGAAGAGAGGAGGAATCATGGAGAGGGGGCGTGGGTGGAGAGGGAAGATGGGTATAAGACAGAGGGGAAATGGGTGAGAAGGAGAGGAGGTGCAGTGAAGTTGAGGTGGGCCCTTGACCTAGAGAGTTGGGACAGACCCCTGGTCATGGCTGTGTTTGGAGTATCAGCAGCGATGAGGTGGCTTTAGCTGAGGTGACGTTCTGGGTCTGGTCAGTGGCAGTGGGGGCTGCTTCAGCGTGTTTCCTCCTTGGTGTTACAGCCTCAGGAACAGGTTTGGGAACTGTGGAGTGTGGCTACTTAGGAAATCAGTAAGCCATGGATGGAGCAAGAAATGAAATTTGTTGTAACTTTACATGATTTATTTCTTCTTATATATGTATATGTAATTAAAATGGTGCCGGCTTATGGTGACTTATACAGATTTTACTGTATTTCCATAAATATATGTAACAATATATTACTAACCTCAGAATTCCTAGACTTTGAGCTCTTCTTGTACCCACAGTATTTATATAGAATCCCTACAGTAAAGCAAGAGGCCATTCGGCTCATCAAATCTGCAATGACCCTCCAAAGAGCATCCCACCCACACCCAGCCCTATCCCTGCATTTACCATGGCTGTTCCACCTACCCTGCGCATCTCTACGCACCACAGATCAATTTACCGTGGTCAATCCATCTAATTTGCACATCTTTGGACTGTGGGAGGAAACTGGAGGACCTGGCAGAAACCACACAGACGCAGGGACAATGTGCAGACTCCACACAGTCACCCGAGGGCAGAATTGAACTTGGCTCTCTGGTGCTGTGAGACAGCAGTGCTAACCACTGAGCCACTGTGCCACCCATTGTATGGCTGGTCTATTTAGCTTCTGGTCAGTAATAACTCTCCAAATGTTGACATAGGGGATTCAGTGATTGGAATGCCATTGAATATCAAGGGCTGGTAATTAGGTTCTTGCTTGTTAAAAATTATCATTGCCAGCACTTAGTGGTGTGTATGATACTTGCCAGTTACCAGCTTAAGTCTTATAGGTACCTTTTAAAGTTTTTAAATATGAAACAATGTTCACCATGACAATAAACTGGATCGTATGTACCAACGAAATTAATAAATGATGAACAATTTTGTTCATCGTTTTCAGTTACTTAAAATCAGCTTACTTATGTGTTAGACTGTACGCTTCTCAAAATGTTTACTTATTCTAATAAATCACTTTTAGTCATGTTTGTAAAATGAGAACCCGATTGCCACCCTTAACTATATCTGTGAGTAATTTTCAATGCAAGGCAAAAAAACAAAACAATTCCATTCCAAACCTTTGCCTAGATGCACTGGATAATGGAAGATTTTGCTTTGTGAAGCTCAGCCAATTAGTTTGAGCAGAAACTTGAACCATAACTTTGTTTGAGTCTGAAATTTGGGACTGGATTACTAATGCCGCCCAAATAGTAAACTATCCCATTGTCTGTAGTTCTGGGTACCCCTTCTGTTTTGGGAGGGATAGGTAGCCTTTGAACAGCATTTACAATTGATTGTCCAGGGAGATACCTGAATTTAAGTGACTGAAAGAATATGTTTTAAAAAGGACCATGCATACCCAATTGAGAAATAAGTGTACTTAAAGAATATAAAGCAGATGAGAGAAATAAGACTAACCAATAATAAAGCAGGCTAGGTGGATTTACTAGCCTACTCCAAATCTGCTGTTGGTATAATTTTGACTGATAATGGACAGAATTGAAACATATGTCATGTGGTTCCACTTTTAATTGTACAACAATCCCTATCAGCTTGAGATTCAACAGGTATTTCACTGTAATAACTTGATTAAAGTCAAGTTTCTGATCTGGTTATGGATGGACTGCTTCCTTATCCTTTTAAAAACAGATCATCAAAAATACTTCATAGTAGTTTATAGTTGGAGCCTGCCAAATGGTCGTTGCCACATCACCACTAATATCTTGACTGGGATCAATTAATTTTGCATAAAATGAGGGATCTAATTTTCTAAGCTTTCTGCACTATTTGGTTACAGTCTCGTAATATAGTGTTCTGAGGTACTCCCCATGAGCAAATATTGTGTGCTTTCTGTTGAGTGAGCACACTGGACTGGAACATGCCTTGCAGTCCATCACTGCAGTGCTTTGGCTTCCCAATGTAAAACAGATAGTAGATACTTACAAGCGTATGTAGGTGATTTGGCTGAGTTGGGGAAGTTCCACTTTAGAAGCATTAGAGTATAGTAACTGGGTGTCGAACTTTGATTTCACTGTTAACCTTCAATTGGCAGTCCACTGATGATGTGTTGTATTGATGACTACTGTTTACTTTTGTTCTGATCTTATTACCTTTATTTAGAGGGTCACAGAGTCATGCAACATGGAAACAGATCCTTCGGTCCAACTTGTCCATGCTGGCCGAATGTCCTAAACTGATCTAGTCCCATTTGCTAGCATTTGGCTGATATCCCATTAGTTTAAATTATTTATAATAAGTAATTTTTTCCAAATTATTTCCAGCTTCTCCTGCAACAGAGAAGGATGTTGGAGATGATGCCGTGTATGTCATTAAAATAGTAAGTAC